ATCATATAAGTATATATCATATATATATATATATATATCGTATATAAAATATATATCATATATATATATATATATATATATATATATATATATATATATATATATATATATATCTTATTTAATCATAATCCAGAGTTTCAAGAAGATCAGAGAAACTTTTTTTTGCACCAAAAAGTCGACAGGAGTAGCCCTGTCAGTTTTTTCATGTCGAAATTTTGAGTTTATCTGATCTTCTTGAAACTCTGGATCAAGAACGGGGGCGTGGCCTGGGAGTGGTCCTGGGACATTTGGTAAATATAGTGGGTTATTGGACAAATAGTGGGTTCGTGGGACGGGGGCGTTGCCCAGGAGTGGGCGGGGGGTGGTCCCGTGACATTTGGCAAATATAGTGGGTTATTGGACAAATAGTGGGTCTTGGGATGGGGCGTGGCCCGGGAGTGGGCGGGGGGTGGTCCCGTGACATTTGGCAAATATACAGCCCATTCTCACCCCCAAGGCGTCACTTAACTGACGCCTTGGGAAGCATTTGGACATGCTTCAATATCTGACGCTTTAGGCGCCCTTTAGCGTCAGTTAGATGACGCCCTAGGATCGCTTGTACCCTACCCCCACCCCACACCTAAACCTAACCGCGTCCTCTAACTGACGCTTTCCTTTAGCGTCAGTTAGATGACGCCGTAGGATCGCGTCATGTAAGTGACGCTAAAGGGCGCCTAAAACGTCAAATATTGAAGCATGGTCAAAGGTGACGCCTTGGGGTGAGAATGCGTTGAAATATATTGGGTTATTGGACAAATGGGTTCGTGGGACGGGGGCCTGTCCGGGGACTCGTCCGATGCACACAAATGACTCTAACATCAATGCATTGATTGATTCCTGTTTTGTTATGAATAAACAAATGTGCAATATATAAAGGAAAAACCTTACGATTAAAGTTGTAATGTTATAAAGTTCAAGTTTTTGTTCTAAAAAAAAAAAAGATGCACACAGAAAATGACTCTAATATGACCAGATTGATTGATTCCAAGATATTTAGTTTGTTACAAACAATGTGCAATCTGTAAAACAAAAACCTCAAAATTATAGTTGAAATGGTATGTTGGAATTTTTTTGACCTTGAGAAAAAGCTTAAAGTATAGATCAACAAATTTTATGTTTATTAATTTATTTCATGTTGGTACATTTTTGGGAAGTACACCTGTTTTGACGTCCAGTGGAATGGACAAAAAAAAAATCACAATGAGAGCAATTATATATATATACAAAAAAAAATCATTTGTATTTATTTATAGAAGCCTCATGAGCTGGGAAAACATATGAAGAGTTCAGATGCAAAAGCCTCTAAATGCCATTTGAAATTTTCTTCTTTAATGATCATTTTTATCCAACTTATATATTTAAGTTCAGTAATTTCACTTAAATGGCAATGATAATTACCTATTAATTGTTATTTAAGTGAAATTACTGAACATAAATATACAAGTTTGATAAAACTCATCATTAAAGAAGAAAATTTCAAATGGCATTTAGAGGTTTTTGCATCTGAACTCTTCATATATTTTTCAGAACTTGAAACAATTCAGGTCTGAGGGGGTTAAAAAAGGAAAATCGAAAAAGTTTGCGGGAAAAAAACAACACCCAATTGAAAGTTGCATTTAACAAAACAATATTTAGATTAATTTTTTAGACAATTTTTAAAAAATGTGTTAAACAGTTTATAATAGACATTTTGGAGAAGTAATCGCATAAAGTTATAATAAACGCATTTTCTAATCTAAATTAATCACAGGGGGTTGTGTTTTCTCACACTGGTCTCAAATGGCCCCATTGATAGGCTTACAAGTAATTTGAGCAGGATTTATATGCGGCATGAGATAGATAGAGCAATATTAATACACAGACGCTTTATATGTTCCAGAAATGGTAGTTGTATATTAGGCTATATGTTTCCTTTTATGAAAATTTGACAAGGGCTTGTGGGCACAAAGGCATGTAAAACTGAAAATGAAATAGTTATCAACAACTCTTTTTTGCACCATTCAAACACAAATATGGATGAATTTATGATTTAATTTGGACCAGGAATATTAGAATATCAACTGACTACTCAGGTAACACAATGCCATTTGCTGTAAATACAGACTATTATCCTGCAGCTGATGATAAGAATAGCCTTTCTTCAGCTTTGGCCAGTTTTGTATAAACATGTTTTTAATGTTTATTTTTGTTATATTATATACTCGTGTAGGTTTTTTACAACAACGTTGCAGACAAATTCAAATAAAAACTCAGCGGTGTCTCTTGTGTAAACACTGACACTGAGTCCACGCAGCGGCTCAGGCAAACACATCTCCTCAGCATTCATGGCTACTGTCTGAGCTCAGATGATTTTCTGCTCCAGTTGGAACCAGCTGTGGCCTCCGTGAGGGTCTGTGTCCTTTTTCTCTCACGCCATTGCATGTTAATCCTGTATCATTCAGTACATGGTAAAACCTTCACTAGATAATAAAAACATGGTCAAATGTTCTGACACACATCAGAACTCTCAGTTGGAATTAAAAATGGACTGATACAATCTGAATTAAAAATGGACTGAAACAGCATTGCAATTGCAATAGCAAAGTTAAGTGAAGTATATTGGCATTATTGCACTTGGCATTGTGCTTTAATGGTTGCTGACTCTGTGCTTATTAGCTTCCTTCATCCGCACAGCATGTCTGCATCCATCTGAACACCGACTGCTGTCTTTAGAAGACAGCAAAACAGACTGGAAAATGACTTAAATATTCATAAACTGCTTTAAATAATGCATCTCAGCCTCCATTTGCACACTTCCCTGACTTCACTGTCACCACCTGTCAGGTCAGCAGAGCCACAGTCATGTTGAGTTAACACTGACTAGAAAATATATAACACTAAAAATATCTCAGAGTCCTGAGAAATGAATAGCAATAATACAGTCCTAAACCGCAGCAAGAAGGATTGGTGATTAAAGTACGGAGAAGGTGAAAAGGCCCCTTCTGCATTGCAGATGCATGCTTTGTTTTTTTATTTACTAGTGTAGTGTTAAAAGCAGTCATGCGGAAGCACAGAAAAAACTTTTTTTTTTTAACAGACTCTCTTTTATAGTGTTAATTTATGGTTTATACCATGTATTTAGCACAATATTTTACAAAAGACTTAATAAAAAGTTCATGTTAGTTCGCAGTACACTAGGTAAGGTTACCAGACTTTTGGCAACTTTTGATACAAATATTAATCTGATATACTAAAATTAATCTGTAACACTAAACAATAAGTTTCATTAGTTATCGTCAGTTAATGTATTAACTAACATGAACTAACAGTGAGCAATTTGTTACCGTATTTATTAATCTTTGTTAATGTTAATAAAATACAGCTGTTCATTGCTTGTTCATGTTAGTTCACAGTGCATCAACTAATGTTAACAAATACAACCTTTGGTTATAATAATGTATTAGTAAATGTTGAAACTAATATTAACTAAGATTAATAAATGCTGTAGACGTATTGTTTATTCTTAGTTCATGTTAACTAAGGTAGTAAACTAATGTTAACTAATTAACCTTATTATTAAGTGTACCGATTAATAAATGCTGTAGAAATACTGTTCATGTTCAAGGGAACAAAAGAAACCTTATTGTTAAGTGTTACCAAATTACCTGAAGAGATTTTTCCTTGCCCATATGACTAAAGATAAATGAATTATATGCATACTACACATCAGCAGTAAAATGTACGTAAATGAAAGCGCAAACATGACACAATTTTGTATGGTTTTAATTAACTGTTATTAATATATCACATACTCATCATAATAAAATGACATGATAATTGTATGTTAAGCACTTATCAGTAAATTCCAACAACAGCACGTTCAAAAATCTGTCAGTAAATCTGTCTGTAAAAGCTGCCTATGTAACTTTTAAACCAATCTAACAGTATAATGGGTGGGGGGCGGGTCTTGAAAATATGTGTTAAAGAACGGTACATGCATGTGTGTAGAGGTGTGAAATCTATGTTCCAGTAAACAGCTTATTATTATTTGTGGTGAACAGGATGGCAGAGGGATGTGAGAGAATGGCACGAGGCCGGTGGGGTGATTGCTAATGAGCAACACCTGTGAGCACACCGGTCTCGCATCTCTCACGGAGGAGCGGAAGCATAAAGGGGGAGCGACGACGTGGATAATCGAGAGAGGAACAGGCCTGCTTTTGCTTTATTTTTTTAATATTTTATTTTGGCAGCCAGCTGTCCGTGAGGGGCTGCTGGCAGGTATTTACATTTTATTTGCAGTAACCAGCAGTTCCGTGAGGATTTTGTTTGTTTATTTCATTTAAATAAAGTTTTATTTGATTGCTCTCTGGTTCCTGCCTCCTCCTTGCCTGAACCTTGCCACATTATAATTATTATTATTATCATTATTATAGCCACGCCGCTACTGAGCTAGGATGGACTTTACAGTATATACTGTAGTCTTGATGCATCAAAACATTTTTAACAGGATTCAGGTCTATAATGAGTTCCTCATCCAGCACATGAACATTTCTGAGAATTACTGAAAATTAGAAAACATTTCAGAAAAACAGAGTGTTGGTTTGGAGCCATTTTGGGATTTGGGGAGTTATTTTCTATGAGAGGATAGAGAATGCTGAGGCCTCTAGGGCTAAATGTTGTGGATGAATGACAGCTCTGACGGGTTTTTGAGTTCGGGTCAGTGTTAGAGGCAGATAAATATTCAGTGTGTGTCCAGTATTGTGCTCTGACTCAACGCCATCTAAGAACTTTGTGTCATTTTGCATTGAATGGTACACAGAGCTTAAAGCTTCATGAAATGTGTCATGTTAGAAGTCCATTGTTCGGTTTGCTATAGTATTTACTAAAATAAGCAGGATGTCATGTCAAGTTCATGATAAGTCCGGGTTGTGGGGTGTGTACTGAAAATAAACATATGTGGGTTGGGTTGAAGCTGGTCTGACTTTGTGATCTACAGATCATCAGTGGTAGGTGTGTTATAGCTCTTGAAGAGCGGCTGCGTAAAGAGGCCGAGGGTTCCTGTAACACACACTAAAACAAAGATCCATAGAAAAAGACGGTCAATCACCATAGCCACGTATTTCCAGTCCTCGACAATCTGTGATACAGAAAATACAGAATATGCACTGATTAATTTTAATTAATTTGTGAAATACATGTATCTGAAGAAAACTCAAAAGAAATTATTTGTATTGTTTAGTAGTGCCCATGTTATTGTGTTATTAGCATATTTACACTCACCTAAAGGATTATTAGGAACACCAGTTCAATTTCTCATTAATGCAATTATCTAATCAAGCAATCACATGGCAGTTGCTTCAATGCATTTAGGGGTGTGGTCCTGCTCAAGAGAATCTCCTGAACTCCAAACTGAATGTCAGAATTGGAAAGAAAGGTGATTTAAGCAATTTTAAGCATGGCATGGTTTTTGGTGCCAGACGAGCTGGTCTGAGTATTTCACAAACTGCTCAGTTACTGGGATTTTCATGCACAACCATATCTGGTGAAAGAATGGTGTGAAAAGGGAAAAACATCCAGTATGCGGCAGTCCTGTGGACGAAAATGTGTTGTTGATGCTATAGGTTAGAGAAGAATGGGCCGACTGATTCAAGCTGATAGAAGAGCAACTTTGACTGAAATAACCACTCATTACAACAGAGGTATGCAGTAAAGAATTTGTAAAGCCACAACACGCACAACCTTGAGGCAGATGGGTTACAGCAATAGAAGACCCCACCGTGTACCACTCATCTCCAAGTACAAATAGAAAAAAGAGGCTAAAATTGGCAAGAGCTCACCAAAATTTGACAGTTGAAGACTAAAAATGTTGCCTGGTCTGATGAGTCTCGATTTCTGTTGAGACATTCAGATGCTAGAGTCAGAATTTGGTGTAAACAGAATGAGAACATGGATCCATCATGCCTTGTAACCACTGTGCAGGCTGCTGGTGGTGGTGTAATGGTGTCAGGGATATTTTCTTGGCACACTTTAGGCCCCTTAGTGCCAACTGGGCATCATTTAAATGCCACGGCCCACCTGAGCACTGTTTCTGATCATGTCCATTCCTTTATGCCCACCATGTTCCCATCCTCTGATGGCTACTTCCAGCAGGATAATGTCACAAAGCTGGAAACATAACAAATTGTTTTCTTGAACATGACAATGAGTTCACTGTACTAAAATGGCCCCCACAGTCACCGAATCTCAACCCAATAGAGCATCTTTGGGAGGAACAGGAGCTTCATGCCCTGGATGTGTATCCCAGAAATCTCCATCAACTGCTATCCCATCAAAATGGGCCAACATTTCTAAAGAATTCTTTCAGCACCTTGTTGAATCAATGCCATGTAGAATTTAAGGCATTTCTGAAGGTGAAAGGGGGTCAAACACAGTATAAGTATGGTGTTCCTAATAATCCTTTAGGTGAGTGTATATTATTATTAGTTTAAATCACTGAGAACAAATGTCCTCAACTTAATTTGGTTCATTGGTCCTTTTTTTTTTTCTTCAGCATATTTGAGAGAAAGCCAATCCAGCACTCACCCCTTGATCATCATCCTCACTCTTCGTCTTGTCAGCAATGTATAGGACTCCCTTCACAGCCTGCTCGATTTCCACAGGGCACTTTACTGCCATTCGCTTTCGAAACTCTGTGTTTTCCTGCAACTCTCCAGGTCTCCAACCAATGTGTTTGGCAGAATCTTCATTGACAAAGAAGGTAGAATCAATCTCATCAGTCTCACCTTTTGCTGTGAGATCAGATGAAGAGCACTGCTCATGCTTCATGCGAAATTTCTCTCGTTTGTTGGACTCTCCTGGTCGTCGCATGAAGAGGAAATCAGGCAACCGGCTCAGGAAGTAGTATTTGACCCACTTGGGCATATTGTGTGTGCTTGGGGACCGATGGTGCACGTTTAGCACACACACACTTGTAACAATTGAAAAAGTCACCAACACCATTGCAAACATCAAGTACTTTCCAATGAGGGGCACAGCAAGTGAGGTCGGAGGTACGATTTTGGAAATCAGTAAGAGGAACACAGTTAAGGCCAGAAGAACAGAAATACACAAAGTCATCTTCTCCCCACAGTCTGATGGTAGGTAAAAAACTAAGATGGCCAGTGAAGTGATAAGAACACAGGGGATGATTAAGTTAATGGTGTAGAACAGAGGTTTGCGTCTGATGATAAAATCGTAAGTTATATCCAAGTACGTGATGTCATTAGGGTCTTCGTTTTTGCGACCAGGCAAGGAGACGATATCCCACTCACCGCTTGGCTTGAAGTCATCTCGGCTGGCAAAGTCTGACAGCAAGATGAGGTCGATTTCTGTGTGGTCATAAGTCCATGAGCGGAACTTGAGTGTGCAGTTTTGCTGGTCAAAGGGAAAGTCCCGGACCTCAATTTTACAGGCACTCTTATAAATGGCTGGTGGTAGCCAGGCAACCTCACCGTTATTTGAAACGACTGCATTGGAGTAGAAAGACACTTCATATGTCCCATCAGCACTAAAAATGACAAAAACATTGTTTTAAATTTGTTGTTTTAAATCATTAAAAAAAGCTAAGTATCCTATTTTGCCTTTGTGAATTATAAAGTGCATAATAAAGGTGAAACTCAAAGCTGATACTATTATCCCGAGTGCCAGCTCATCATCATGCAAAAAAACTCTGTCTCAGTTCCTGAGATTAAAGCATTAACTGTCCTTGGAAAAAGATAAACCCTGCCCAAATCCTGCGTCGATGCAGCATTGTAAAAAGATTACAAAATAAGTCACCTTTATTTTTTATAAGGACTTAACCTTTGCATAAATAAAACCTCTTCTAAATTATTTAAAGAGATAGTTCAGCAGCACACAACAGATGTTTTCAAAATTACTTCTTTTTTTCCCAAATAAATGAAAGTCAATGAGGTCCAGTGTGGTTTTTGACCCCACTGATTAGGGCTTTTCACAGTTTAAATATTTAACCCAGGGTCTATAAAAGGTAAGAATGAAACGGTCTCTTCTTCAGTCCAATTGTCATGTTTTCTTCACCATTTTTCCCCTCAAACACAGAAACTACTGTTTACACAACATTCTATTTTTCCCTGACTGTCCACAGCACATGGATAACACCACAAAAGCAGTGCTAACACTACTCTGGAGTTTCATAACCCAGGGTAAAAAGCGGTGCTAACCCCGCTTCTAAATTACAATTGTGAAACGCTCCTTTACCAGGGGTTAAAGACAGTTTATAGAACATCAAATTTAACTCGGGATTAAGAGCCGTGTGAAAAATTCGCAACAGTTTGTTTTCCGCAGAAGAAAGTCATTCAGGTTTGGAATGACTTGAGTGTTAAGTAAATGATGACAGAATTTTAATTTGTGTGTGAATTAAGTGTTAACAAGTTAAAATAAAATCAGAACAAAATAACAGGTGTACTTTAAAGTTTCTCACTTGTTGTACAGGACAATGTCAGGCAGCCATATATGCTGGGAAGGAAGGCGGACTTTCCTGATCCCTTCATACTCTTCTGGATCCCACATCAACCGGTAATCATTCCATACCTGCTAACAAGACACACGCCTTAGAAAGACTTTTATTGTGAGAAAAAAAAATTATACCCAAACACAAAAAGTTCCACTGCTCATTACCTGAGTAAGCCAACAGTTGGTGGTCATAATCTGCTCTCTTTCATTCTGAAATACAAACATTAACATATAACTTTGATGTAATCAAAAAAGCAACGTGAGGTAGCTTTTCACGTTTAAACCCACCACACTGATGAGCTGAGCAAGGGACACTTGGATTGCAATGGTGACCTGCTGGCTCTTATTGATCGCAGGCCGGATCAGCTTGTTGTATCGGTCAGGGGAAAGTAAATAGTTTATCAACCGCTCCTCCACCTCAGCACAGCATACAGCTGAAAATCACAGACATAAACTGTTTTTTTAGAACAATATTTCATCACAGTTTCAGAAAAATGCCTCCCTGTGGGTAAACATGTCTCTCATCTTTATAAGAGACTGTCAATAGTCATGGTTGGAAACGCTTATAATTTGAAAGGAGAACTCCGGCGCAAAACAAACCTTTGGTCAAATAAAACATTGGTACCTTGTCGACCATTCTCTGAGAATTGTTTTCATGATAATCAAATGTAAAGAGTTTTATCTCTAAAACTGTTTAGCATATAACGCTATATGGGGGCATATATTAAGTAAAAAGAAACCGCTAGTTCAGGGGTCGGGAACCTATGGCTCGCGAGCCATATATGGCTCTTTTCAGGATTTTATATGGCTCTCCCAATTTTCAAATGCTGACTGAAAAAGTCTCTCAAAAAGTAAAATATTAAGAGACAATTTGAGATGCACCATGCAGCACTTGTTAATCACTTGTTTATGATGCCCGTTTCTCAATTTGTGTGGTGTCATAACACCGGACGAGAAGCGTCTTAGGACAGAAGTATCGCACACCGGACGAGAAGCGCGCGCCGCGTCTAGGAAAGAGGTAACGTTATTGCACACCGGACGCGCAAGTTTATGGCCGGCAATATTGTAATGTTTAAACTAAAGACATTATGGAATTAAGATAATGTCTGTACTATGTTATAATTGTACTGTACAATTAAATACAATCGTTGAAGTCTGCAGAACACTTTACCTCAGCAATTCTCATTTAAGCAGCTGATTTCTGAAAATGAATGTAAAAGTAAATATAAATTGCAGCACACAGTGAAGTCAGTATGTAGCCTACATTAACGACGGTTTGATACAAATAAAAGTAAATTTTATATAAAACTATGTAAATGGCACTCTGTGGCAAAGCAGGATTTCGAACAAGGTTCTGCTGAGCCGTTGCTGGGCGCCGCGGACAGACACTGAATGTGCCGCCGGTCACCACTCCTAGGGGGCTGTTAACACCTGGCCACTTCATGCGTTTTCTCAAATCGGATAGCTATCTGATTTATCAAAACGATTCCATTTACACGCTGGTCACATAAATGTGTTTTTGCAAAACGGATATAAATCCGATCTTCAATTCACGCGCTATGCAGATTTAATGAAGTGCGCGTCACCGAAAGCAACAGATATGAGCCGAAATTTGATCTTTGGCTAATTTCAAAAAAAGCAAAGACAGCAATAAAGAGAGCGGCAACAGTCCTGGTAAGATCATTTCTTTTCTTTAGACTACTTTTATGGTAGTGTTAATCGTCTGCATCTTACTTTCACTTTGATTTGCGATGCGGCGCGTTGGCTTGGCGTTCAGCTGCTCATCTGAGGTAATGCGTGTCGCAGTAGCGTCGTCATATCTGACTAAAATAGCATGACATATAGCCTATAATACGCTCTCACACGTTTATTTCTTAGCATTTTGGGGATGAGTAAAATTTACATATGTGGTTTCAACAACCAGATGCATTTACACATGTCCAGTTTCGTCTGGAATGCGGCCCAGACCACCTCCTGAAGTGGTTTGAGCGATCGGATTCAAATCCGTCTCAAATGCGTTTCGGGGGGCATTTACACCTGGTCTTTTCACGATCGGATCGCTATCCGATCTCAGAAAACGCTTGAAGTGGCCAGGTGTAAACGGCGGAGTCATAGGGAATAAAGTGTTTGAATTTTAAATGAGGCGCTGCGCTTCTCGTCCAGTGTGCTAAGAAACCAGCATGTCAGTGAACAAAATATCAGAAATCCCAAGTCTCCCGGAAGCATATTGAGCGTCTCCGGTCTCCCTGATGCCCGAAAATTAGTTAAAATCTCCCGGAATAGAGCGACATAGAACATGCTGCGCGCATAACACGCGCGTATGTTATGTGCCTCGCGAAAGCTAGTCAGCCCCACCCCACACACATTTTTTTTTTTTTGTGGAAAAAAGTGTTGTTGTAACGTTATATAACTACCAGAACTGCTACTAGTGCAAGTCGTATATTACTACTGTTGTTATTATATATTACTGTTGTAAATTTGTCTAATATACGAGTGTAAACTTTGCTCTGGCTCTTTTGAAAAAATTCTCAATTTTGTTTAGTTTTTTTGGCTCTTCTTGGTAAAAAGGTTCCCGACCCCTGCGCTAGTTAATAACACTAAAAAGGCTCAAAATAGCCCCACACTAACACAGTAACATAATGAGGGTCCCTGCATGCAAAACGAAGCATTGAGAACTTTGTAAGTGTATAGACCGTTTAATAAGAAGATACTTTATAAAGACAGTCAACTTTGTGTATACACAGCAGGAGAAAACAGTATTGACAAGTCTAAACATGAACGCTGTTCATACAGTTCAGAAGTTCGCTAAACTTCATACAGTTCAGCTCACTTGGCACATCGTTAGTGGTTCAACTTAGAGACTGTTTTCCAAAGATGGCTTCTGCCTGTAAACACGAAGTGGACTGTCTTTGTAAAGTATCTTCTTATTAAACATTTTCAATGCTTCGTTTTGCATTAATGTACCCATTAGCAAATGTATTTAAAGGGTCATTTTAAACACTATGTTACACTTTTTACATTTTTTAAAAAAAATCTGATTTTGAGACTGTCTTTGGTTCATTGCAGTTTTAAGGAGTAAATACTCCGCAATGGTGTTGTCTTGTGAATTTGTAACAATTTGTAACAGTTTAGTACTAAAAAATAATAAAAACACCACATAGACATTTAAATAACATTAAAAGCTTGATTTCAGGGGGACTTTAAGTATAGCATGCATTTACTATACGCCCTAGGATTAGACTAGGTTTGGATTAGGGCTAGTTAGTTGCTTGCAATTATGCATAATTTACATCTAACGTGTAACAAAGACTATATGCAAATGAAATAGGGAAGCCAAAAAGTAAGTTTCAGAAAGAAGCAAAAGAGAAAACCCAAAACTCTACTGGTGTTTCTGTCCCACTGTCTCTAAGGGACAGCAAGTCAGGACAAATGACATCACTCTGCGGACAAGCAGTGCGCTGTGGGGACAACGAGTACAGACACTACAAGATTAAAGTTGACAGAAGAAGCACTGGGGCAGCAGTCAGCATTCAACACACAATCACCCAGCCTGTGCTCAGCAAGACATACTCCATCTGACTAACAGCTCAACAAGTACAGCTGAAACATGTGAGAAATTAAATGAACACCATAAGCAATATTGGGAGCCATGTGCAAATGAAGCAGAACCTCTGAAACTCTCCTAAAATATCACAAAAATGAGAGTGAAAATTATCATAATCTGTTGAGAACACTTTTTTTATTTTGTTGAAATGGCAAAGGCCATAAACTATGTACAGATAAAGTACTAAAACAGAACCTTTTTTCAATGCTTTATGGCCTGTCTTGATAACGTATTTAGCTTCTATTTCCTCTCAGCAAATAGTGACATATGAAATGATTATGTAATTAATTATCAATTGACAGCTCTATTAGAAACATATCTCCAAAAACAAGGCGATGACAATCTGTTTTATGAATCTCTCTAAGCGCATGTTGATGCTACCTGTGATAAATGTGTCTTTAAAATGTCAAATTACATTACCCCCTCAAAAGAACGGACACATCCGTTATGAATCCAGACAGTTACATAATGGGCCCCATTAATTTGTAAATAAGACGCACAGAAACAACAATCCTTGTGATTCACGGACAGCTTGCAGAGGGTCATAGAAGCCCTATGCCACATCACTCAATAAGACCCTATGGGGACAATCATTCTTTAATGCCAAACATGAGTCAGCAGTTCAGCCCATCACTGCCCCATCAGTACACATTCTCTTTATCACAAGCTCTCATATTACAGCATATGAAAGCAGAGTCTGACAGTAATTATCATAATGAGGGTTTAATGAGCAAAACGGCATGACCATAAATTAACACTACAAACAAAGCAGTAACCATGTTAGTTTTTGTTTTCAGATGCATCATTTTACGCATTTTGGGAAACATACTGGAACAGCTTCTAGTTAATAGAAAATATCAGATTAATATAAGATATTTAAATATTTAAAAAAAAATTGAAGTGACATCAAGTAAAAGATTTTCATTGTGAATTTGAATGTAAATTAATACATTCTCTTGGTTGTTTTGCGTTTGTTTGTTTACTTATCTGGCATCAAAATTTAACTATAATATAACTATTATATAATAGGTTATAAGCCTTAGTGCAGTCAAAAATATTATTGATATTTCGATATGTATCGATACTGAGATATCTGAAATGGTTCCAATACTCCTTTTCTGCAGCATTGTTGCATCAACTGCCCGCGTGGCTGGTCTCAGACGATCTTGGAGGTGAAGATGCTGGATGTGGAGGTCTTGGGCTGGTGAGGTTTCATGTGGTCGGCGGTTGTGAGGTCGGTTGGATGTACTGCCAAATTCTCTGAAATGCCTATGGAGACGGCTTATGGAGAAATGAACATTCAACTCATGGGCAACAGTTCTGGTGGACATTCCTGCAGTCAGCATGCCGATTGCATGCTCCCTCAAAACTTGGAACATCAGTTGTATTGTGCTGTGTGATAAAACTGCACATTTTAAAGTGTCAGAAACTGTCTCAGTGAAGCTCATCTGCATGCTCGTCGTCTTCATCGGGGTCTCGACCTGACTGCAGTTCGTCATCGTAACCGACTTGAGTAGGCAAATCTCACATTTGATGGCGTCAGCACTTTGGAGAGGTGCTCTCTTCACAGATGAATCTCGGTTTTCACTGTACAGGGCAGATGGCAGACAGCGTGTATGGTGTCATGTGGGTGAGTGGTTAGCTGATGTCACCGTTGTGAATCGAGACAACGAGAAAATCACTGCTCTTGTCTGAACAACTTTTGTAACTTTAATTGTAAGCATTCATTTTGATAATGGAAACTATCCAGTTTTATTTTATATTTGATTACTTTAATAAGTATTTCTTTCCTGAATACTGTTTGACCCACCTGAAAAACTTAAAGCCATG